CACAAGTGTTGGTGCGTTAATAAAAATTCACACGGACACAAATGTTGGTGCGTTTAACAAAAATTAGTTTTACACCAACACAAAATGTTGGTGCAAAACTGCGGGGTACAAATTGGGGTACAAATCTTGGGGTACACATAGCATAATCNACCATGCTACACTTACACCAACAAATATACCCCATTTGTACACCACAGGTTTGCACAAACATTTCGATGGTTTACACCGACACAAGTGTTGGTGCGTTAATAAAAATTCACACGGACACAAATGTTGGTGCGTTTAACAAAAATTAGTTTTACACCAACACAAAATGTTGGTGCAAAACTGCGGGGTACAAATTGGGGTACAAATCTTGGGGTACACATAGCATAATCCATAAAGTTTGCATCATTATTCATACATTTTACGAAATAATGATTAAACTAGTACGTAATCTACCAATAGCGTGTTATTCCTATCTTATAAATTAAGAGAAAAAGAGGAAAATAAAATTCAAATTATATTTACCTTAAGGGCCCCGTTTGACATACGAAATTGATGAAACTGGAATTGAATTAGAATTGAAATTTCATGAGATTCAATTCCATAGAATTGGATTCACCAATTCCAATTCATTTTTTGACTATCAATTTCAAATCCACATACTTTTTGTGTTACCAAACACTAGAATTGGGATTGAAGTTCTCAATTCCAATTCCATAGTTTGAATTTCGTGTACCAAACGTGGCCTAAGCCATAGAGTAAAATAAGTATTTTTTATTACTTAAATAAGTATTTGTTTTTTTAAATAAAAAAAGATTTTTTATGTAAAATAATCCACAGAAATGATATGCAACCAAAATACACCAAAGAACCATACCTTAAATGTCAATTCAGCTATCTCTAATGGGGAAAGATTTCTTAGGCCCCGTTTGGTACACGGAATTCAAACTATGTAATTGGAATTAAAGACTTCAATTCTAATTCTCGTGTTTGGTAGCACAAAAATTATGTGAATTTGGAATTGGTAGTGCAAAAAATGAATTGGAATTGGTGAATTCAATTTTATGAAATTGAATCCCGTAAAATTTTAATTTCAATTCAATTCCAATTCTATGAATTCCGTGTACCAAACAGACTCCTCAGAGGAATTGAAGGGAGTACATATACGAACTTTAACTCTCAAGTCTTGGGCAACAATGTAAGTAACAACTAACAACCTACTTATTACTATGACTCTATGAGTGCTACATTTGGAACACTACATTATTAAAACTAAAACTTTTATTTCAAAAGATATAATATCTATTAAAAAAATTAAATAAACAAAATTATACTCCATCCGTCACATATAACTTTTCAAAGGCAAAAAAATGTACAGCCTAAAAATAGATAACTTTGATACTATTTATTAATTATGACTCATCTATTCTACACATCATGTCCTACCTTTTTTAAATTAAAATTAATGGTAAAATTAGAAAATAAAATCAAAATTACATATTTTTAGGGTACGCCTTTTTTCGTCTTTGAAAAGTTTTATGGGAAAAAGAAAGTATATTAATTCAAAATATAATTTTATTTAAATGTTCATAGTTTTACACTGTATATGAACTTATGCGAATTACGACAAGTTAAAACTACTGAGTTGTACGGAGTAAAATTTATAACATATCTCCTTTATTTTCGGATGGGTAGCCGAAGTGGTTAAGAATTGAGTGCCCGAGGGAAAATTATGGAAAAAAGATTATAGTATGAGTAAAATATAGAAGATGTATCAAAATATGAACTATATATTTTATTCTCAAAATATGAGTTAAAATGCATATACAGCATCAACTATGCCAATGTATAATTCAAAAAAGTATTATGAAATGTCCGTAAGCAGTGTCATATTATTACAAAGTAAACTTCTATTTTGAGATAAAAGTATACAGCTTATATTTTGATATTTTCTTTGTATTTCACTCTTATTTAGCGTGATTTCCTTAGAATTATCATCAAAACCCCATCCGACAAATATACTTTAAAGAAAAAATGTTAGCCTTTACTTTAACCACAAAATTCGAGATTTTGACTTTTTGCAAGAAAAAAGTGCTCCCCTAAAATATTATATTGCTTGCCTTATTTTTTCGTCATTTTAATTTCTCTCATATTTTAGCCTCTGAGGCTTTTGGTCAACAATCCACTTTGTCTTGGGACTTTGCTCCATTTGATTATATCCCAAACTCTTTAAATTAAAGGAATGATTTTTTACTTCAAAAATTTTTTTTCTCAAGTTTTAAATTTTTGTAGTCAATCATTTTCAATACTTCACATATAATTAAATAAAAACTATATTATTAATTACTTAAATAAAAGAATTTGTGGAAAAATTTGACAAAAAATTATTTTTGCACCAATTTCTAATGTCAATTTTATTTAATCAGTGGTCAAAATATACTTTTTTTGACTGAAAAAAGTTAAAATTAGATAAATACTTAGGGATGAAGGTCGTAGTATACTAGTATATAATATTTCAATTCCAAAAAAAAACTTTTCTATACATTTTGATTTTTTTGTCAATTTTTTCCCACTTTTGAACACAAATTGTAAAAAAGGTATATTTAAAGATAATGTAAAGTTAACATTTTTGAATTCATTTCAAAACATAATTTTGACATATCAAGTTTGTATCATATTTATTCATATGCAATTATATTCATCATTGAGCAAAATGTATTGAAAATTGACAAAAAAAAAGTCAACATGTAGAAGAACTTTTTAACTTGAAACATGGGAGTACATAATGGAAAAAAGAGCAATATATATAATTATATTATACTCCCTCCGTCCCGCAAAAAAGTTCCCTTTTCTTTTTTCATCCGTCCTAAAAAATACTTCCCTTTTCCTTTTAAAAAGTCACTTTTACCCCTACTAATTCTAAACCTACCTATCACATCACACTTTTTCTCTATTAATCTATCCATCCCATCCGACTTTATCCATCAGATCAAAGGACATTTTTGAAAAGTCAACACCAAAATACACTCCATTTAAATCCTCAAAAAGTCAAAACAAGAAGTTTTTTAAGGGACGGAGGGAATATACTACTCTGGCCCGTTTCTTTCATCTTCTACTCCCTCCGTCCCTTAAAAAAGTTCTCGTTTTGACTTTTTGAGGATTTAAGGGAAGTGTATTTTGGTGTTGACTTTTCCAAAATGCCCGTGATGGACAAAGTAGGATGAGATGGATAGATTAATAGAGAAAAAGTGTGATGTGATAGGTAGGTTAAGAATTAGTAGGGGTAATAGTAACTTTTTAAAAGGAAAAAGGAAGTGTTTTTGGGACGGATGAAAAAAAGAAAGAGGAACTTTTTTAGGGGACGGAGAGAAGATTATCTATATATATATATGCCGGAAAGTAAAGGGTAAAAATATTCTTAGAATCGAAAATAATCCTAATTATTAGCTCGATCGATCGGCACTAGCGGGTCTTCTTCTTCTTCTTCCCCAGGTACACTTTAATTTCCCACTTCGCTGGGGATGCATCTGATCCCTTTTGTTCCTTCAATTTGTTGGGTCATGTTTTTATGTATTTATACCAGCGTATCATGTTAAAAAAATCAAAGATACTGGCCTTGTTTGGTAGTTAGTATTTGGCATTTGATATTTGTGTTGTCTGGTTGGTTGTGATTGTTGTCCGTGAAAAAATATTTGGCAAACACAACTCTTCAAAAATAACTGTTGTATATGAAATTACATTTTAAGACGTTTTTAACATACATTACTCTGTAATAATTTTTTCATAAAATACAAAGTAAACTTTAATTTATTTAATATAATACAGAGTATAATATACTTTATATACGTATTCTTTTTCTTTATATATTTATTAAAATAACTTTAAATAAATAATCACTCTATATATACCTACGCATTCAAAATATCATTATATAAATAAATACTCCGGAGTATATACACATATACGGGACAACGGGATGGAACAAGTTCGGGAGAAAAATTTGTCATCCCTACCCTAGGAAAACAGGATACCATGGAAACGGGACCGAGATATTTCGGGTCAGAACAACGGCTTTGGGATTCTTGCCCACCCTAACTTTAATACTCTCTCGCTCAAATGGATAACCAGACTTTTTTTAATCTAACTGATTAACCACTTACAAAAAGGCCCCCTCTCCCCAGGAGATGGAAGTGTCAACACCTAAAAGACCATGAGTCGTTGTATATAGACTTACGGGTGAATAATTGAGTTAAATAAGCCACATAGCGTTTTTCATAGGAACAACTAGGCTATATAGTAATGTGCCAATAGAAATAAACTTCTAGAGGAACACCTCAACAAATGAGGTTGGCTAAACCTGTCTTTCATACCTTGATAGAATTTAGAATGATGTAGGGATCACTGGGCTAGGCCATTAGATACTTGGTCTTAACTACTATGAAGAATTGAATCTAATGGATTATTTTTATTTTTGCGAGGGGGAGGGGGTGGGAATCCAATTAATTACTTGGTTCAACTCAAGAGGTTATATACCCATTACATTTTATTTCAATTTTTGATGTGAGGTACTTTAACAGAGACATCAAGATAAGGGATTTTGGGAGAATTTTAATATCTCCAAACTTGATATCCTAACTCTTATTTATTTCCCTAAATAGTACTCTACCTCCGTCCCAAAAAGTCTTTCCTGTTTCATTTTTTGCGCATCCCATAAAACACTTCTATCCCGCCTTGAATGCCAAAAAGACTTTCAAAATAACTTCTCCCACAATAAGGAAGAAATGTTGTAAATTTTAGGCATTTTAGATGTCTATAGAAGTGTTTTATGAGATGCGCAAAAAATGAAACAGGAAAGACTTTTTGAGATGAAGGGAGTATCTTTAAAAATTTGATATGAGAGATGTCAAAATCCATAATATTTTAGCTCTCCAAACAGGCTGTAACTAAAAATCTTTTCCTAGTTAAATAGGTATTTTGCATTGCCACTTTCATTTCAATTCCGAGTTTTTGTATAGGGTGCCCGAAAATTTTGGACCAATCATGACGGTGAGTGGGAGCGAAATGTATGCCAACATAAAGGAAGGATCTTGGTTCACCCAATTTGGGAATGGATGCAATCCATGGATGGCCCGATATGTTTACGGATCATTTTTCCTCATAGCAAATTTACTGGCGTGGGCGGTCCGGGACTATGGATACACCACTTTCAAATCAATGCAAAGTAAGCTTCAAATCCTTCACATTGTTCTTTAACTAATTTGCTTCTTTTACTATTAGAGTCCTAATTATTATTACTAAAACATTTGTGAAAGGTGAAAGAGGAATTTACCTAAATAGGATTAAAACATAATGATTTTCTCAATATAAAATCATATGTTTTTATTTTCTAATAATATAGGACCTTTAGTCATTATCCATTAATCATTATTCAAGCAAATGTCCACCATCACTGGACATTATTCCTTCAACTAAACATTATTAAGTCTTATTTAGGGAATAAAAAAGTTTAAGTCCTACATTGGAAAATGACCTATGTTCTAGTCCTATTTAGTGCAAATTTCACAAAGGTGGAAACCCAACTTTTGAAAAAAAATCATTTCTTAAAAATCACTTTATATAAGTAAATAATTCGGTAGATCTAAGGTCCATATATGTACTCATTGATCATTTTAATAGATATATAAGCATTTCCATAATGTCAATATAGTCAAGCATTTAGGGATGTCACTTGGCGTTCCTCATCTTCAAACATGTTTATCCATAGTCAAAAAATGGTTAGGGAGAAGGTGAAAACCACAGAGGGAAAAGACAAAGTGTGTCAAAGCTCTCATATTGTACGTGTTTCTTTCGCTCTAAGGAAGAAGATATGTAATTTCACTGGGTTCAATTAGGGTTCCATTATGAGGTTGTTCAAAAAAAAATCTTAATGATGCTCAATTTATTTCCATTATTTTAGATATGTTACCAACTCAATAGTTCAGATGTCACGTAAGCCAAAACAATTTCACGTTATTAAACTTGAAACTAACTTAGACTGGAATAACAATGCAAAATTCAATGGTTTTCTAAAAGTATTGGTGTGCAAACTAAGAGTAATATTATATATATGGCCAAATCTAAATTTATTTTGTAAATTTTTTCATAATGTACTTAATAATTGATATAGTGTGAGTAGAGTATTACGGTTAATTTATTTGGTCGCAGAGCTAAAGGATTGCAATGTTGGAAGAGAATGTTTGGACACATTAGGAGTGCTTAGGGTCAGCTTCGGATGTTTTGTATCCTTTTTTATTAGAGTATCAGGTGCCATCACTACCATTCCCGCCATGTTTATTCCCAACTCAGCACCACACCAACTTTCCCATTTCACCATGTTTCTTCTCCATTCAGAGGTGTGGGTCCTCATTTTATCTTTATTCTTTTTTATTTTCTTAAATATTACTGATGGACAAGAATTTCACCAAATAATCTGACTTGAAAGGTGGATCGTAAGAAAAATCAAGAAACGAGAGTTCGAGAATTATGAGATTATTTGCTAGGTTTAACTTAAGGTTTCTCGTTCGAGTCCTCCCTATTTATACATGTCCTTCACATAATTAAGGTAGTTTACGGTTTATGGAAACTAATCCCGAGATTTGCACGATCCTCTTCCTTCGGCTTTTTTTCCGCAACCTAGCCGCGTCCTTCTTTTCAAAGGTGGACTCCCCATAGCGTCCTGACCCGGGTCGGCTCAAGCCCAAGGCTGATTCCATCCACCTGCGGATACCCAAACGCACTTGGGCACATGTTTTGGGCCACCTACCCGTCAGGTATCGGCCCATCACAAGCCCTCCAACTCCTCATTCCTTAGACGAGCAACGTCGAGGGATGGGGAGTTATCGAGGTCCACGTGTGCCTCCACCCAACGGATCCAAGTCGTCCCTTGATACCCGTGCAGCGGTTGGCTCAATTACTCCCAAAAGCAATCATGACCTGCTCCTTCGCCTTCCACCATGCTCTGATAAAACCTCTGCCGGACATCATTTCCATCTCATCCTTCGTCTGTTCAATCTTTGATCTTGCCGCGACCCGATTCGTTCATCTCCAGGTCAATCCTCTGTTCATCATCATGTTGTTTCCGGGTTCCGATTCTCTTTCCCCGTCTTCTAGTTCCCTTTAGGTCGATCAACTGGCCCCTTCCGGTCAGGGTCTGAGCCCACCCAGTCCGCCTCAGCCATCATCGGCGGCCGTAATTGGCCAGAAACGGCATCAGCTGAGGAAACAGTTCTCTCATCCGCCCCCATGTTATGGGGCCTTAGGGTTGAGTTGGAGGAGAGCATCATGGTTGTAATACCCCGTAGTAATATGAGAATGGGAAAAGCTCAAAGGATTGATAGTACTACTCATACGAACAATGTGCATCTTCTTTTCGAAAGCTCATCACCTAGAAACTCCAAAGTTAAACGTGCTTGACCTAGAGCAATTCTAGGATGGGTGACCCCTTGGGAAGTTTCCTTGGGCGCGCACGAGTGACGATAAAGTGTGCGGTAAAGACTTGTGTTGGTTTGTGGGGCCAGTCTAAAATCCTATGAGCGGACGCTTACGGCTAGGGTGGGGGCCGGGGTGTTACAATGGTTCCATGCCATTGTCAGATTTTGGACCAAGGGTTTGCTGATGGTACTGATATGGTCGGCCCTACTGCCATTGAAGTTCGACGACCCAGTAAGATCAAAACCGCTATGTACGCTCCCCTATGGTTCTTCACGGTTTATCTGGCCTCCTTAAAGAGGGGGTTGCGGTTTCCCTTGAACCCTCTACTGGTGGAGTTTTTGAACGAAGTGGATCTCATCCCTTTCCAATTAGTCCCAAACTCTCATCGGTATATTACGAGCTATTTGGTCAAGTGCCAAGAGGCCAAGGTGACCCCAGGACCATTTCTTGTTCACCTTCAAGCTCGCTAGAGGCCACAAGGATTGGGCCTCTTACGCTTGTCTCTCCCAACGGTCGAGCAAGCTCTCCACTAGTGACAAAAAGGGGTACACCAAGGACTGGAAACCCTTCTTAGTCTTTGTCTCCACGAGGCTCGAGTCTCCATTTACTGGCTTGGGGCACCCTTCATTCCGCCGCGTTGCGCCACCGCCGGCAACAACCAAGCTTGGTGGAAGGGAGCATGATCGTCATCTCCACCGAAAACTCCTCTAAGCCCGAAGAGGGACGGTGTGGGAAGTTGAACTTCGTCGAGCTACCTTCCGTCTCCACCTCAAAGGTCAAGGCAGGCGAAAGGGGAGGTCGCTCCAAAGACGCATCCCTCATTCGTCGAGCTACCTTCCGTCTGCAGGATGATGTTTTAGGGAAACACCCATCACGCCCTCGTCATTACTTCCGCTATGGTGTTTGTCTAAGACTTTTTGCTAGAAACTAGCAAATCACTCCACTTTCTTGTTCATGTCCTAGAATTTTGAACTAACAGAGTGAAATAATGAGTAAGACCGTTGGTGGAGGAGTTCATGAAATATGTGTTTGACTATTCCAAAAATTGTCACTCATTTTTCGTGTTTCCAATATCTTTGAAATTCAAATTTGTAAATAAAATTCAAAAAATGAATTAAAAAGGGTGTATTAATTTTTTCTACCTCTTATGGTGTCTTCGAAATCGACATCCCAAGCTCTCGCCAACGCAACGTCTTCTTGAGGTGCTCACGGTTTGTTGGTGGTTCTTTTTCTTGGGTCAGTAGGGCCTCTTTTTTCTTTCCGTGATTTGACCCCTCCAGTTATTTTTTTTGGCACAACGTGTAACACCCTAATCTGTCCAGGTCTGCAGCCCCTTTCAGATTAAAGTATTAACTTGGTAATCGTAAAAATTTAAAACATTTCAAACACTTTTATTTATCACAATAATATTTTTCATAATATAGACAGTACGGAGTTTTCAATATTGCGGAAGCTTAACAATCATAATCACAAACATAATTTATTTATGTTCTTTAATTCAAAACCATCACATCCATTCCGACAATCTCGCCTCCGTCTGCCTCCAGGATCACGTCACTTCATTAACCTGCGTGTAGCAAATAAAACATATTACACGCTCAGCGTTGAAGCTGAGTAAACATATCTAATGCATCGAACATCCATATAAACTGAATCTAAATTCATAATCAAATCATTTGATATCATGCACATAATGTTCAGTTCAGATAATCAATAATTATTAAAAATTATTCATCATGCATTATTCAACATTTATATTCACATTCAATGTTCATCAGTCATTCATAATAATTGCAATATTCAATTCAATATTCATCATTCAATATTTACT